CGCACCCCCCGCACACCCCGCACCCCGCCAGGAACCACTCCAACTGAACATTGCCCTCACCACATGGTATTACTGCATGGACAATACTGACATAAATAAGAAGATCATCGTGACAATCCATTGCTGGACATTGGTCTACACAATTATTGTTTCTCTAAAATATGAAGATCCACTGAATCTGTCTGATACAAATCAAGCTGTATACGATAAAGTTGCAGAAAGAAAGAGAACTCCAACTTTAGACTAGGTACTATGAAGAAAGTAATCGTGGACGATCAAATATATTTGCCAATGTATGAAGTACCAAGCCAAGTTATAGTGCAAGATATACTACTTGAGAATAAATCTGTCATTGCGATCTTAAACTTCATCTGAATCAAACAATGGGAATTGCTTTGATCATCTCTTACAAATCTTAAAGACAATCCTTGAGAAGGATATTTGGAGATTTGAGTACAGACACCGCATATCAAGCCACTCACTAATTTTAGTAGATTTTCAACCTTAATCTTTTACAAATAGAGTTTAAAATCTAATGATAATTGTTAGGGTAGCTTGATATGCTGGTCGTTTGTAAATTGTTCTTCAACGGAGAACATAAAGAAAACCTGACACAGAGTGTACAAAATACATTCCACCAAATATGAAACTAATTTATATTGCTATGTAAATATTAGGCTAAGTAATTAAGTGTAAGTAAAGCCATAATATGCCTTGTAGTCATTATTATCTATGAATTGGTTTAAAAAATGGATTGCACTGACGGATCATTAATTTATATTTCTTTGAAAAGTATAATGTCCCACGTTAGGATTTTCTCCTGTGTCGTGGTTCCATTAACCATTGGTGTTTCAGACAAAAATAAACTTTCCTGTTCTTGTATAAAACACAAATTGCAGTTCGAATGGAATCGATACCAGAGTGCCAAGTATCGCCGCTCGGATTGGCCGGCTTCAGTGAATCAACCAATCAGAGTGGAGAATGTGATCGATACTATTACGTTACGAATGCGATAGTTATTCGTGCTTGGCACTCTGACCTCTGTCATCAAACCACGTAATATTAGGATTTTCTTTTTAATTAAAAAAATGCGTTGCTCCACTTTAGGATTTTCTCGTGGGTGCGTTTACAAACATACAAGTTCACATACACAATGACACCCAGACCCGAAACAACAATTTGTGGATCACACAAAGTGTTGTTCCGTGCGGGAATCCAACCCACGACACGTTGCACGGCAGCCGGTTGCCCAGCCACCGCACCAACCGTGCAGTCTAATTATCATGACAGTCCATGTATTATCCTGACAGCTAAATAACAAGTATAACAAATCACGGGAAAATAGTCCTTATTTCCAGGAACAATCAGATATTTTATCACGCGGCATCGTTAAATAAATTGCCGACAGGCAATATAATAAGGCAAAATAATGACAATTATAGGTACATCATAATGTGGTCATCAATCAAATGCAATAGAACAATTTACTTTATTATGCATAAAATTGTTGATATTTATGTATTTAGTGTAAATTCTTCATAGGCTGTTAAAATCAGTGTTCCTTGAAGTAATCAATCTTTGTTTTAATCCTCAATTAATTTCCATCTATCTATGGACAAGTAGACATATGTATGTAGTAGAATAATATTTTTGTACATAAAAAATGTGAATTGTAAAATATCTGACTATTTTCATATTGTTTAAAATCATCAGAAGTTTTTTTTTACAAATTTTGTGTAGCCAGTGTATAAGCACTTAAAGTCAAATTGATTTTGCCGACTTTTACATGATATAATTCCTGACTGACGCTCATTTTAGTAACAGACGGACGCCATTCTTCAACTGCAAATATAATTCATACATACACTGGCAACGCTGGCACTGGTTGACGTTTTGGATACTCGTTTGCCAAATAAGCGAAAAAGAAAAAAAATAATTCATACATGATACATTTCCTATAAAAAAATTACGGTATCTCTAATGACAACTTTGATTTTAACAACATAGTTCTCTCAATTGTCAATCGATAAATATAAATCGTCCCACATGAAACTGATAAATTATGCAGTAAATGAAGCAATAACTTACCTAATCCGAATAATGCATATTTTATTGCGTACCTGCACAACAATTAATTCGAATAAAATTAATTACTAACTGTATGTCATAATAATTTAGTTATCCCTTTGAAGAAAACTCTCAAGAATGAGTTAAATGTTTATATAACTTTCATGAGATATACTAAATTAATTATTATATTTTCAGCTCTGTGTTATGACCTCGACTAGTTTCAAGCTATACTTAAGGCTTTTTTTAAATGGCATAAGCCGATAAACGGGCAGACGGATCACCTGATCGGCGTTGCCCATGGACACCGATAACAACTGAGGCTTTACAAGTGCGTACCGGCCTTTTGAGGATTAGGAGTTTGAGGATAGATGGGGATTCAGGGATTGGGGAGATTGGGGAAGGAGGAGAGACTAGGGAGACTCACATGACGGAACACAACGCAAGCGTTGCTTCACGTCGGTTTTCTGTGAGGCTGTGGTATCATTGCGGTCGAGCTGACCCATTCGTGCTGAAGCATGGCTCTCCCAAAATAAAATTCATAGCTCAAATTCATGAGAACATAATAATAAATTAATTAAGTAAAAACGATTTCGTCTGTCAATCAAGCCCATAGTTGAAGTTCGGCTTCACATACACAATATACATAGGTAGATTACAAACCACAAAAAGCATTAAAATTCCACTACATAAAGATACTAAATTATGAACTTTGGTGCAATCCATTCATTACCTCTATCTTGCAATGTATTCAAATGTTTTTGTGCTATGTTCACGTTTTATCATCCGACACTTTAATGTTTTTATTTAAGTTATCCTTGAGTTGATAGCAACAATAGAGGTATAAAGAATTGTATAATTTGTACCATTCATCAAAAAAGATGATTAATGATGAAAAGTATTCGATTTTAATCTATTAAACAACATTTCTATGTGAAAAAAGCCTAATATAATATATATGATTATTCTGTTTAATTTTTGAGACCGACTTATATCTTATATGGATGACATTACTCATTCATTTACTCAAATCAGATGAACGATATTAACTGTACAACTGTACTGTGCATAACTATTAAAGATACGTTAAAGACAAAAATGTAAATAATGAAGATCATAAAACATGAACACAATACGAAAACCACAATTTATATATAAATGTGTAAATAATATAAATATATATAGAATTAAGCGTTAAAGTAAACGACTATTGCGAGCCATAACGTGTTTAAATAGCGAACTAAGGAAAATAAATCATATGTTTATACCACATTGTGTTTACTTTTATTTGAGTTTTATAGTTTGCACCTACTTTTCTAAAAATAACAGGTAAAGTGACGTCATTATCATTATCACTCTGTTCAGTATAGGACGACTGGACTCAGCTTCTACAAATCTCATGTCTCTGACAGTGGCGTAAATTATTGGTCGGAGCCCGTGGCAAATTCATCGGATGGACTCCCGGGGGCACCTTACAGCTGGGGGCCCGTAGCATCTTGCCGATTTATACACTGGTCTCTAAACTCTGAACTGTATTTTCAGCTCCTCTCATTCAGCCATTGCAGGGTACTTTGTAGATATCGTCTCCCTCACACTACCTATCCAAATGCCAAGAGAAGAGATTCTATGGTACGTTTACTAAGATCTCTAATTCAGAACACGTTTTTTCAAACGGATTCCAGATCCGCAAAATAAATAGATATGATTGGTGCTCTGTCAAAATTATTTCGATATTGGCGATTTTAAATAATACCTATCTCATTTGGTATATTTAAGATGCTCATAAATTGCGAACCCAAGGAACGAGTCATTAAGTTAGCACTTCATATCTGCAATCACGGACATACACACTTTCACATAATCTTATGCAATAGTTTAGTAATTACTTATAACTTATCTACCTTGTGAATACTAAGATTCATAATCCTTTTGCCTCTGAGCAAGGACAAGGTCAAATCTGAAAGTCTTAGAAGACAGACACGTAATATTTAAGAAGTGTAATATCTTGAACAAACGTTGTGATTAAATCCATTCTCTTTCTTATGAGAAGAAACCTTTGCCCAGTAGTGGTACAGTTACAGTCTAATGGTGGTGATGATAGAGGAGGTGAAATATCATAATTCACTGAAAAAACAATCCGGGCGCTGCGGATGAGCTACCGGGTTACTGGGGCTCCGGCTCAAAACAAAAGTAGAAACGGGATGGTTTGTTTTTGTGGACACACACAGATGGACTGCCTAATTTTTCGAGTGGTCGCAAATCCAACTACCGGGCAATGGGTCTCGGGTTCGATTCCTGTGTCGGGCAAAGTATTGTTGGGTTTTTAAAAATACTCAGTTATAGCTCAGTCTGGAATTGTGCCCGGCATATGGCAATAGGCTCACTCCCTATAACATGGGACTGATGGGACTCATAACATAAATAGTGGAAAGTGAGTGTTACATTTAACAGTGGCATTAAGTGCCGTAATGTGTCTACCCCTTCGGGGATAAAAGGCGTGATGTTATGTATGTATCTATGTACACAGATGGAGTATATCAGCATGAGTTGGTATAACTGATGACCAATCAAGACTAGGATAAGGTCAACAGAAATAAGTTGTA